AAAAAAAAAAAAAAAAACGATCAATTATAATAAATCATCAGAAATCCCAAACTATTAATCTACTACCATATCTTAGAATCAAAGAAGATTAGATACTCATGTTTGAAATCAAATACATAGACATATTCAAAATCAACATGAGAAAACAAGTTCAAAAGATAGAAAGAAAAACTAGTAAGCTTGTCGTCGATCTTCTCTTCTTCCCAATTGCTTCTCTTGTGTGTTCTCTGACTCTCTCCTTGCGTAATCACGTTCTAGGGCTCAAGATCAGGTAAATAGGTCTTTTTATATGTCCAAAAGTCCTCTCCTAAGCGAAAAAGGTAAACGATTAAAAAACAGCCCGCGTCGCGACACGACCTGACACGCCCGTGTCACAGGTCATGTCACGGGTCGTGTCAGGTATAAGTCCTCCTTTGCTGTATGTTGAGGAGACACGGGCCCAGACACGGCCTGGCAACCCGTGTCACCACCCGTGTCACATACAAATGCCCTCATTTTTGGCTCGTTTCTCTCGTTTCTTCCATTCCTTTCATCCGTGCATCGATCTATCATTATCCCAGGGGTTTTAGGCACTCACCATGCTCCTCCAATAGCCAAAGCTCTACAAATATGTGGAAATATCTACAAAACGAGCACATGTAATACCTTTCCAACAATTATAGAATTAAAGCACAAATGTGCAATTTATACACCACAAATGCAACAATTAAGCTCTAGATACTATATGAATATGGTGTAAAATCGCACATGAACAAACCCCTAAACTTAAACCATTGATAGTCCCGATCAATGCATCAAACTCATATCAACACACAAGTAGAAGTAATCACACTCTCAAAGTCAATCATACACATCATCAATAGGCATCGGGCAAGTAACATACTAAATTCCAGAATTTTTAAACAAAAAGAATGCTTCATCAAACTCATGGTCAATGCTTTCAATCCACAAACCTCACCGGATAAGTGTATACTCTCACTCTCAAAAGTATATAGGAAAAATAATCG